AGCGATGTCCGGGAGCTCTGCGGTGGTCCCCCTGCATCCCTCCTTCCTGACTCACTGTCTTGAATTGTGGTTGGCAATACCTGTGCTCATTGAAGTGAACTGAGAAAATACCTTTTGTATCTATGGAAAGTTCATGATATTATTTCCTCTTTACTACAACATCCCATTAAGAAAACAGAAAATGTATTAACTCCATTTAATAAGAAGAAAGTTAACTGATGGATAATATATTAAAGCCAAGAAGGTTAATTGACATGGCCAAAGATACTCAAGTCCACGTCAAGTATAAAATTAGAGCACAATTCAGTATTTCCCCCTCATAGTGTATTAATTCTAAAAGTTTTTAAGCCAAGAAGCACATGGAAAACCAGGAGAAAATCAAGAAAATCACAAAGTGATTTTTATTGAATTACTTAAAAAAAATGCCAGTATTAAATCATCCAGCTCCTGTAGGGCTAAGAGTTTCACTCAGGAGATATATTTCTTTCTTGAACTTGTAAGTTAGCAAAGAGTTTGGAAAAGCAGCTCGTGGTTATCTCCAGGCCACTTTTCAGGGACCCATTGATGTGAGGATATAAGAATCTCGACTTAAAGAAAGGTAAGGTCTGACTCCCAGAGATGGAGTTACAGATGTAGCAACCCTTCCAGACTTTCTTTTCTACTTACGTTTCAAGGGCAGGATCTTTTTAAACAAGGTGACAGACAGCTCCTGGAATGGTGTCTGTACTTCAGGCTTTAGAATTAAGTGTCCAGTTAAGCACTTGGTTGAGCACCCAATAGAGAAGCTTGTGACGGGATGTTACATTACTGCTGTTGAAAGGGGCCAGGGAATGGGTGTCCAGCATTTACTGAGAACACTTATCAGCCGGGAAGGCACTGGCAAGGTGAGTCAACCAAATGGACCGCGAGGAGAGAGCTAGACCTGGGTACATATTACTGATTACAGAACTCTCATTAGAAACAGGAAAGGAGGACCACTGAGAGTTTCTTGATGATTAAAACAGGAGGTTATGAGGCATTGTGGCCTAGAAGAAACCGCTGTGATTGACTGATGCCTGTCAGGTCTGAACTGGAAGAATATGATGGCTGCCTGGGCCCAAGATGAAGAAAATTTCAGTTATAGGTGGTTGAAAAGGAAATGATGGAATACAGCAGGAAGTATTTCCCAAAGGAGCCAGGTTAACATCTGTGATCATAGAGTATTTTTTTCTCTGTAGGAATATGTAAATAGAAGGACAGGGGGCTTC